AAAACCAAATGATTTGCTTCCTACCTTTGCATTGCGAGTGTTTTCCTTGAATGCTTTCATTTTATCTGCTGTCAGATAGCAATTCCTAGCCTTGAATGTCTCCACCTGACATTGTGAAACAACTAATCCAACTTCACCCCAACCAGCAGGGCCAAGATTATTGTGACTGACATCTAGTTCATACAACTGAAACAAATATGATCAGTGACAAATCATGATAAACTTGATCATAATATAGATTTGTAGAACTTGGTATTTATTTATGACCTCATATCAATAGTGGGTTCATAGAATTTGGATCAGGTAAAATTATCAGTCAGTATTTCGAAAGGTCCACACCAATGTTGGCATATCTATGATATAGTATTTGCTTGTACAAGCCTTGTTCAGAGAGGTTTGACAAACCATGCATGGATTACTAGCTAATGACTCAATGACAGGTTTCATAACATAAAATATGGTGAGATTCTCTTCATGGCCGACTCCGACCACATTTTGTGGATTCACTCACCGAACTAGAGCCATAGCGAAAGTACTTGTTAGATGAGTTACAGCAAGATGAACCTACCAAAATAAACGCTCATTGCCCAATTAGGTTCCTTGAACCATTAACCATGTTTTGCAAAACCCAAAGTTTTCAATTTTATCACAACTTGTGTGAGATCGTGGTCATGGGGTTTGAGCCCAAGATATTATTGCTAAAATAATTTTCATAAAAAATTCCTATTTTGGTCTTAGCCCCAAATAAGATTCTGTGGAAGTGGCCTCTGATACCTAACAATATGTAAAGATCCACTGTATTTTAGAAGTGGAATCTTTCTGATTTGCATCGCATAGTCAAAATATATTACACAGTTTGTGTGGTGATAGACATGGGATTTGAAAATGGTATGTGTAACCTACCAGCCAACAGAGTTTGGTTTAATGCTTTGAACCTTGTGCATATGCCCAATTTGGCAAGAATATTCAGTTCTAATAAGGGTTTGGTTTAGCTTCCACCATGAAAAACTCAGAATCGGTTTGTTCATATACCTTATACTTATAAGGTAGATAATGGGCCATTGATAAAGCCCTATATTTATGAAAGGTACTGTTTGGTCCATTCTTGATTTTTATATAATACTTTCATGGTTCCATTACATTTGAACCCACGTACATTTGAACCCATGACAATTGCACCTGTATGCTATTGCATCTATGTAATTTTTTTTGTTTTACGGATAGTTTAACCCATACTAACCCTAACCCATGGGTTTTAGCACCCGCATATAGATTGAACCCGTGGATATACGCATGGGTTCAAATGTACGTGGGTTCAAATGTACGGTCACCTACTTTCATATATCACCAAACATGTACTTTTAGTTACCTTTCTAGGATTTGCTTCTTACCTTGGCATTGCAAGTGTTTCCTTTGAATGCTTTCATTTCTACTGCTGTCAGATTGCAATTCCGAGCCTCTAATGTGTTCACCTGACATTGTGAAACAACTAATCCAACTTCACCAAAACCAGCAGTGCCAAGATCCTCATTTTTACTGACATCTAGTTTATACAACTGAAATAAATAGGATCAGAGAACCAATCATGATATAAACTTGATCATAAAGTTGGATTTTGCCAGAGACTAAATGCAGGACACAGAGAGTCAATGAAGTAGAAACATCGTTAAATATTATTTGATTTGAGAATTTTCCATGGCCATGTTCCAATAGTAGGTAAAGTTTACAGAATTTGGATCGGTTGAAAATTAACAGTCGATATTTTTAGAATATATTTTTCAATACCGGTATTTTTGATCAATCCACACTAATGTTGGCGAATCTATGATAAAGTATTTGCTTGTACAAGCATATTCCGTGAATTGCTAGGTAATGACTCAATGGCAGCTTTTATGACATGAACGTAGTGAGGTTCTTTTCAAGGTCGACTCCAACCACATTTTGTGGATTCACCCACAGAACCAGAGCAATAGGGGAATGACTTATTAGAAATTACAGCTAGATGAATCTACTAAAATACAGACACTTTGCCCTGTTAATTACTCAATAACATATACTGGGCTACTATGTTTTGAAGGACAAAAAGCTTTATATTTATTACACCCGGGGTGAGGTGGGGGGCACGGGATTCCGCCAAGACATCGTACTAATGTCTTATTAATCAATAATGTTCGGATTCAGTCGAAATATGGGTTTGGTTTTGCTGTGTTAGCAGAAAATAGAAACCAGAAATAAGAAAGCCCAGGGGTTTGGGAATGTAACTGACTGAAAACTTCAATTAATAATATTATCAGAGAACACAGCAATGTAATTCCATGAATATTGTGCATTTCTTTTAATATACCTGTAAAAGCATTACAGCGACTTGAACCAAGACAAGAAGTCTGGTGGGATCCTGGGATATATTGCAATGGTTTTTCTGTAGAACTCGCATGTTATTTAACAGGCGAGTAATCGTTTTAGCTCGTAAACAAGGTAATGATCACAATAATAAAGAAACAATCAGCGTCCTCGCTGGGAATTTCTCGCTATGAACCCGCTATTTTGTTTCTTGAATATTTAGCGTTCGACGCCGTCTCAAGCGGCATGTTTGGATTTGTCTGAAATCTCACGTAATTGTCTAGTTACGTAATTCGAGAGACTTTGTTGTCGAGTCGGTTTCGCTGGAATTGATCACACCGATAAACAAAACAGAACCTTTTTCAAAAAAAAATTCACAACGCACACGGTTAAGTGAATATCGCACGCATCACGAGACACAACTGGCATAAAGCGGCGAAATACCGCTTTTCGAAGAAATCAAACTGAAGGTTCACGCACGTTTGAACAAAAAGTTATGACATTTTTCAGGAGGGGTATACAGAATTCTTCAGCCAGAAAGGTTACATAGGGTTTTAATTAAGATCAGCTGGGATACGCCAGAGAATTCAAGAATATAAAACTATTATGCTTGCGGCAAATATCGGGCGAATATTCAAGTATTGCCATTCCAGTGCTTGCCCGTATTGAGTTATAAAGTTAGTTTCGATCCGATTCTGATTATGGAAAATAGGTTCATGTTTAGCAAATTTTGACAATCAGGTACAATGGAATAACAGTAAATTTGCCCTATTTTTTCACAGTGTGATCATACAGTTTTCAGGAGTAAAATCTGAATCTATTTGTTTATTCAAGGTTTAGTATGGGCCATGCTCAAGTATATAAAATACTCTTTTAATCCACCAAAAGTGCATTTTTAGGTTCATTCCCAATAAGACAAAACAAATGATTTGTTTCTACCTTTGCATTGCGAGTGTATGGGTGGTGATTAACGTCTACATAATTTGCATTTAATGTTTTTTTATATTGAATTTTTTTTTATTTGTATTTATCAATAATAAATATTTGAAAATACCAGTTTTGGCTGAAATTTGTCTGTGTAGCAAATTAATAATATTTGTTTTTCTATTATCTTAGTTTCATAAACAACCTAAAATAATCGAACAATTCAGTATTTGGTAAATTGGGATCGATTGCAGAAAATACTCAATCTTGGCAACTTTACCTTTGCATTGCCAGTGTTTTCCTTGAGAGCTTTCATGCCTTCTGCTGTCAGATTGCAATCCCGAACATCCAATGCCCTCACCCGACATTGTGTAACAACTTTTCCAACTTCACCAAAACCAGTAATGCCAAGGTTCTTGTTACCACTGACATCTAGTTTATCCAACTGGAATAAATAAGGTCAGTGACCAATCATGATAAACTTGTTCATAAGGTGGGATTTGGCCAAAGTCTAACTCTAAATGCAGGAAACTGTCAGGGCTGGATTTATGTTGTCATAATGTGTATTAACACTCTTGTAAAATATATCATGACATCATGGATAAATTTTTAAATTGAATTCACCAGAGAAGAAAGGAACTTCTAGTTTCCCTTCCAATAAGCAAAACAATATGAATTTATCAAAGTCTATATGCAGAACAAAGAATAAAAACATTGTTATCATTTAGTTTGAGAATTATTCTTGACAATGTATAGGAGGCGAGTAATGTCTTGAAATTCCAATTTCAAAAGGCTCCATACAAGATGTGGTTTTATCAATACAAGGGTAAGACCGTTTATTGCCACACTAGATGATCAGTGATTCTCAAAGTGGGCGATATTGCGCATCGTGGGGCGAAAACGATGCTCAAGGTGGCGAAAAAGCCGAATGGAGAGATAGGACGATTTCGCGAAACCTTCTCTTTTCTTCGGCGTGCACTTGATTATTGTACTCTGCGTGCGTTCGCAGGTTTGAATCCTGTAGGCGATAATCACAAAACAATAAGATGGCTGGAGTCCTCCCCACCACTAGGTAGTTCACGAATTGCAGGGGTCAGCAACCTACTGTCCGTTGTCCAGATCCGGCCCGCGGAGTAGAATGATCCAGCCCGCGAAGCTTCATTGAATTATAACGACAGAACGGTGGTTCTGACATGAATTAGTTTTATAATCTACGCTCGAGATGTAGAGGCGATAGGGAAGGCGATGAAGTTGTATAAATTACTGTAAATGGTGATGGTAAAAATAAATTTTTGGAACCACTGCTCTAGATGAGACTTAATAATTTACATGGGTGATGGAGAGGTGAAGAAAATTTCTATATTTATCAATAAAAATTTTAAATTTGAACAAAGCTAGATAAGCAATTACAAGATTTATATTTACATATTCTAACACACATTTTGCCACACCGCTGCACGATCATACATTTTGTATTTGCAAGGGCATGGGTGATGAGTAACGTTCACATAATTTGCATTTAATGGAATTTTTATTTGAAATTTTTTTTTATTTGCATTTTTCAATCATAAATATTTAAAAATTTATTTATTGGACTGAAAATTGTCTGTGTAGCAAAATAATAATATTTATCTTTCTATTATCTTAGTTCCATAAACAACTTGAAATAATCGAACAATTCAGGATTTGTTAAATTGGGATCGATTCCAGAAAATACTCAATCTTGGCAACTTTACCTTTGCATTGCCAGTGTTTTCCTTGAATGCTTCCATGCCTTCTGCTGTCAGATTGCAATTCCAAGCCTCAAATGTCTTCACCTGACATTGCAAAACAACTTTTCCAACTTCACCCCAACCAGCAGTGCCAAGGTTCTTGTTGCCACTGACATCTAGTTTATTCAACTGGAATAAATAAGGTTAGTGACAAATCATGATGAACTTGTTCATAAGGTTGGATTTGGTCAAAGACTAAATGCAGGAAACAGTCAGGGCTGAATTTATGTTGTCATAATGTGTATTAACACTCTTGTAAAATATATCATGACATCATGAATAAATTTTCAACTTGAATTCACCAAAAAAAGGAAGGGACTTCTATTTTTCCTCTCAATAAGCAAAACAATACGATTTTATCAAAGTCTATATGCAGAAAAAAGAATAAAAACATTGTTATCATTTAGTTTGCCAATTATTCTTGACAAGGTATAGGCGGCGAGTAATGTCGTGAAATTCCAATTTCAAAAGGCTTCATACAAGATGTGGTTTTATTAATACAAGCAGAGGACAGTTCATTGCCACACTAAATGAGGCTTGATAATTTACATGGGCGAAGGACAGGTGAAGAAAATTTCATTATTTATCAATAAAAATTTCAAATTTGAACAAAGCTCTAGATAAGCAATTACATGATTTTATCTTTACATATACTAACACACATTTTGCATGACGTGTTGAGTTTATCCTATCTGACGCATATGTCATTTTTGAACCCCACCGGACAATGTTTTTTTTTGAAAATTAATCTCAAGGCTTATGTTATAAATTAACGTTATAAATTGACCTTAATCGTTCTGAGACAAACACCTAATAAAAAAAAAATCGTCTTATAATCTTAGATTCTAAAATTTCAAACCTTTCCACAAGTTTTCCATTTGCTCAGTTCTATCAGCTGCTCTGTAGTTGGATGTAACTCTCCACATGGATCAGTCAGAAGATTTTTGACTTCACTCTGAGTTGCAACTTTAGCGATTGCAAGAAATAAATCGAATGTGATCTTGGAGTTGTTTCGAACGTCAAGAGTGTGAATCTGTATAATTTGGACAATTACATAAAAATAAGAGCTGCTTATTTATGCTAATACAAACATGAACTGAATTACCCATAAAATTATAAGATATGACAGTAAATAATATGTTTATCATCTACATAAAAAATAAGGTTGTTATCTTGAAGTCTAAAGCACGAGCTAAAATGATAAAAAGTGAGAAACGATTTTTATAGTAGTTTGTTAAAATCAAAAATCTCTCCACAAGACAGTTTTAGATTACATTTTTTGCAGTGGTTTGCGTAACTCAAAAGACAATTACGGGTCTGCCAATCGTAGGACCTTCTGCATAAAATACTTGACTCATTCAATATTTCAGATAGTTTGTCTCACTGAACCCTCATTTGTACTGGCCTTGACTGACGCTAGCAAGCATAGTCTTTGAGGGTAATTATTACATTTATTTGAAGTTCATTAGTGACAAAAGACCACAACATACAAACAACTGCAAAGAAATTCTTATTATGAGATTTTACATAAAATGTGATTCTTACTCTTACGACTGATCAAAATTAATTAACAGATAACCATCTGCAACAGGTAACCGAGTAACCGACTGGCTATTTCCAGCGCTCACATTCACGTTTATCTTGTTTACTGGTCACGTTTATCTTGTTTACTGATTCGACCTAATAATGGGAAGTTGTGAAATGTAGAGAAAAAGCTTATTGATAAATTCATGACACGAAAATGGTGAGGTTCGCTTCATGATCGACTCAGACCATTTTTTGTAAATTCATCGTCAGCGTCAGATCTAAAGGACTTATTAAGAGTTACAACAAAATGAATCTACCATTTACACACAATTTGCAATATAATAGATAGAATGTAGTTTTGGTTTTGCTGTGAGAACAAAAAAAATGAACCAGAAACCAGAAAAGCTGGTTATTTAGGACTGAAACTCAAAAAAGCTTGAATCAAACAATGATGTAGTCATAGGGTTTTCATATTCATCAAATTTTGACATTCAAGTTTGATGAAATAACAGTTACCTTGCGTATTTTTTCACAGTGTAATCATAAATTTTGTTTATGAGAAAAAAAAATTATTTGCTTCCTACCTTTACATTGCGAGTGTATATAGTGAATAACGTCTACATAATTTGCATTTGATGAAACTTTGAATTGAAGATTTTTATTTGTATTTTTCATTAATAAATATCTAAAATCAACATATTTGACTGAAATGTGTCTGTGTAGCAAAACACCAATATTTGTTAGTTTTTTTTAAATATAAAAGTACCATAAACAACATAAAATAAACAGACAATTGAGGATATGTTAAATTGGGATTAATACCAGGAAATATCCTAGTTTAGCAGCCTTACCTTTGCATTGAGAGTATTTTCCCTGAATGCTTTCATTCCTTTTGCTCTCAAATTGCAATTCCGAGCCTCGAATTCTTTCACATGACATTGTGTAACAACTTTTCCAACTTCAGCAAAACCAGCACTGCCAAGATTCTCGTTGCCACTGACAACTAGTTTATCCAACTGAAATAAAAAGGATCGATGAACATATCATGATAAACCTGTTCATATGGAATTTTGTTGTACCACACTTTTAGAATGGATAATTTCGTTTTCTACGATAACAGCTATGGAAACAGTATTACAAGTGTCACTTTAAATGTCATTTGTATTTTTTTTTCTTATAATTAGACGACTCTCTTGAGTTAACGAATTGTCACAGTCTTTGCGCGCTTTTTGGTTATTAACTGTCTGAAAATATGTGCGGCTCACAAAGACTGTTCACTCTAAGAAAATTATAAGAAAACTTTCGTGCAATCAACCACCTATGTAAGTTGTGAAGCGTACTTCTTCGCATGAACAGCAAAGACTTGCACATTTGTGTTACTCCTTCCATCTTACAGACAACGATTGATACATGCACGTCATTTGTACAAAGCCTGTGCAAAATAACATCCTCCGCCACCCATATCGCTTTAGTATACCACGCTTCCTTGTCCAAAAGAAAATGCTTGAAAGTAGTCCCTAATCTCTCCTTTTAGGAGATGGGTTGACGTCATGTTTCCCCGTCTATTTTTTTCTTTGAAAGATTACGCAAGATCACTATGAAAGTCCAGTTTACTTTCTATCCGAAGATCTTTTTCTCCAAAATATTACGCAAGATCACTTTGGAAGCACCGAAGGATGAAATAAACGAATGATATTATAGTGGTTCATAAATAATGTTCATAGTAATTACGCCCCGAGTTTAGAAACCTCTAGTATATGTATTTTTGATTGGCTAAAGAAAGACAACACATAACGGCTTTTCGACGACATGTTATTCGTTTTATATCTGCTTTGAACAGAGAAACGAATATGTGCCCTCTCGGTCATTGGATCACAATCAACGATTTATATTCATTTCTTTCGCGATTTCGGCAATCAGTTATTATTGAGGGTTTTCATCGACTGCAAAATAAATATCGTTCTGATATTTCAGGCAACATTCTTTATATCCTTCCATAATAAGTTCAGTAAGAGCCCAACATCGAGATTGGTTATAATCGGCCCATGCTTGACTATATATAATACTCTATTAATCCACCAAGAATGCACTTTTAGTTTCCTCCCAAATAAGACCAAACCAAATGATTTGCTTTTGACCTTTGCATTGCCTGTGTTTTCCTTGAACACTTTCATTCCTTCTGCTGTCAGATTGCAATTCCAGGATTCCAATTCCTTCACCTGACATTGTGAAACAATTAATCCAACTTCACCAAAACCAGCAGTGCCAAGATTCTCATTGTAACTGACATCTAGTTTATCCAACTGAAATAAATAAACTCAGTGAACCAATCATGATAAACTTGACCATAAGGTATTTTGTGGTGCCACATTTCTGAATCAATTATTCGGTTTTCTCTGATAACAGGTATGGATCCAGTATTACCATGCTGGTAAAGAATCGACAACTCAATGTGAAACGTTAGGTGAAGTTTTTCTTATCGGAAATTATATATTTTTCACTCAGAGCAAGACCCTGAACATGTACAATATGAAAAAAAATTTTACTGGAAAATAGAGATAGATATCATAGCATAATACTAGAAGTTTTTCTGGCGGAAAAGTCCTAAAAACTTTTGCATATATCATTTCTGACCCAACCGACCGAGTGCGTCATCTTAAAATTATGTTACCAGGATCCTACAATGACCTCATAAACTGACCAACATATAGTATTGAAATAGTGCCTGCTGCGTGACATACACATTTATTTGCACTATCTGAATCTTAAATTAAAATCTACCTTATTTCTACTACAAAATATTTCAATTATAATGTATATCAGTGGTCAGCACCTACAGCCCGCAGAGTGAAATAATCTGGCCCACGGTGCTTCACTGAATTATAGGGACAAAACGGAGGTTTCGGCGATCAATTAATTTATAATCTATGATCGAGGACTAGATTATAGTCTTTGAAGTTATTTGCGTTTTTCGTGACTAAGTCATTAGGATATTTTAACCTAATAATGGGAAGTTGTGAAATGCAGAGAAAAAGCTTATTGATAAATTCATGACACGAAAATTGTGAGGTTCGCTTCATGATCGACTCCGACCATATTTTGTAAATTCATCGACAGCGCCAGATCTAAAGGACTTAGTTACAACAAAATGAATCTACCATTTACACACAATTTGCAATATAATAGATAGAATGTAGCTTTGGTTTTGCTGTGAGAACAAAAAAAATGAACCAGGAATCAGAAAAGCTGGTTATTTAGGACTGAAACTCATAAAAGCTTGAATCAAACAATGATGTAGTCATAGGGTTTTCATGTTCATCAAATTTTGACATTCAAGTATGATGAAATAACAGTTAACTTGCATATTTTTTCACAGTGTAATCATAAATTTTTTTATGAGAAAACATAAATGATTTGCTTTCTACCTTTACATTACGCGTGTATATAGTGAATAACGTCTACATAATTTGCATTTGATGAAACTTTGAATTAAAGGTTTTATATATCGTTCTGATATATATTTCAGGCAACATTCTTTATATCCTGCCATAATAAGTTAAGTGAGAGCCCAACCTCGAGATTGGTTATGTTTGGCCCATGCTTGACTATATATATTACTCTAATAATCCACCAAGCATGCACTTTTATTTCTTTCCCCAATAAGACCAAACCAAATGATTTGCTTTCTACTTTTGCTTTGCCAGTGTTTTCCTTGAACACTTTCATTCCTTCTGCTGTCAGGTTGCAATTCCAGGCTTCCAATTCCTTCACCTGACATTGCGAAACAACGAATCCAACTTCACCAAAACCAACAGTCCCAAGATCCTCATTTTCACTGACATCTAGTTTATCCAACTGAAATAAATAGGATCAGAGAACCAATCATGATAAACTTGACCATAAGGGATTTTGTGGTGCCACATTTCTGAATGAATTATTCGGTTTTATCTGATAACAGGTATAGATCCAGAATTACCTTGCTGGTAAAAATTCGACAACTAATGTGAAACGTTAGGTGAAGTTTTTTTTATCGGAAGTTATATATTTTCACTCAGAGCAACCCTAAAACAAGCGTAATATAGCGAAAATTTTCACTGAAAAACAGAGATAGATACCATAGCATAATACTAGAAGTTTTTCTGGCGGGAAAGTCCTAAGAACTGTTGCATGTATCATTTCTGACCCAACCGACCGAGTGCGTCATCTTAAAATTATGTTACCAGGATCCTACAATGACCTCATAAACTGACCAACATATAGTATTGAAATGGTGCCTGCTGCGTGACATACACATTTATTTGCACTATCTGAATCTTAAATTAAAATCCACCTTATTTCTACTACAAAATATTTCAATTATAATGTATATCAGTGGTCAGCACCTACAGCCCGCAAAGTGAAATAATCTGGCCCACGGCGCTTCACTGAATTATAGGGACAAAACGGAGGTTTCGGCGATCAATTAATTTATAATCTATGATCGAGGACTAGATTATAGTCTTTGAAGTTATTTGCGTTTTTCGTGACTAAGTCATTAGGATATTTTAAACTAAAAATCACAACATGCAAATGAGTGCAAATAATTTTATTTATGAGATTTTACATAAAAAGTGATTTACTGTTACAACAGATTAAAATAATTATCAGATAATCATCTGCAACAGGTAATCGAGTAACCGACTGGCTATTTTCAGCGCTGACATTCACGTTTATCTTGTTTACTGGTCAAATCTGATTCAACCTAATAATGGGAAGTTGTGAAATGCAGAGAAAAAGCTTATTGATAAATTCATGACACGAAAATTGTGAGATTCGCTTCATGATCGACTCCGACCATATTTTGTAAATTCATCGACAGCGCCAGATCTAAAGGACTTAGTTACAACAAAATGAATCTACCATTTACACACAATTTGCAATATAATAGATAGAATGTAGTTTTGGTTTTGCTGTGAGAACAAAAAAAATGAACCAGAAATCAGAAAAGCTGGTTATTTAGGACTGAAACTCATAAAAGCTTGAATCAAACAATGATGTAGTCATAGGGTTTTCATGTTCATCAAATTTTGACATTCAAGTATGATGAAATAACAGTTAACTTGCATATTTTTTCACAGTGTAATCATAAATTTTTTTATGAGAAAAAATAAAAGATTTGCTTTCTACCTTTACATTACGCGTGTATATAGTGAATAACGTCTACATAATTTGCATTTGATGAAACTTTGAATTAAAGGTTTTATATATCGTTCTGATATATATTTCAGGCAACATTCTTTATACCCTGCCATAATAAGTTCAGTAAGAGCCCAACCTCGAGATTGGTTATGTTTGGCCCATGCTTGACTATATATATTACTCTATTAATCCACCAAGAATGCACTTTTATTTCCCTCCCCAAATAAGACCAAACCAAATGATTTGCTTTTTACCTTTGCTTTGCCAGTGTTTTCCTTGAACACTTTCATTCCTTCTGCTGTCAGATTGCATTTCCAGGCTTCCAATTCCTTCACCTGACATTGTGAAACAACGAATCCAACTTCACCAAAACCAGCAGTCCCAAGATCCTCATTTTCACTGACATCTAGTTTATCCAACTGAAATAAATAAATTCAGTAACCAATCATGATAAACTTGACCATAAGGGATTTTGTGGTGCCACATTTCTGAATGAATTATTCCGGTTTTATCTGATAACAGGTATAGATCCAGAATTACCATGCTGGTAAAAATTCGACAACTAATATGAAACGTTAGGTGAATTTTTTTTTTATCGGAGGTTATATATTTTCACTCAGAGCAACCCCAAAACAAGCATATTATAGCGAAAATATTCACTGAAAAACAGAGATAGATATCATAGCATAATACTAAAAGTTTTTCTGGCGGGAAAGTCCTAAGAACTGTTGCATATATCATTTCTGACCCAACCGACCGAGTGCGTCATCTTAAAATTATGTTACCAGGATCCTACAATGACCTCATGAACTGACCAACATATAGTATTGAAATGGTGCCTGCTGCGTGACATACACATTTATTTGCACTATCTGAATCTTAAATTAAAATCTAACTTATTTTTACTACAAAATATTTCAATTATAATGTATATCAGTGGTCAGCACCTACAGCCCGCAAAGTGAAATAATCTGGCCCACGGCGCTTCATTGAATTATAGGGACAAAACGGTGGTTTCGGCGATAAATTAGTTTATAATCTGTGATCGAGGAGTAGACTATAGTCTTTGAAGTTATTTGCGTTTTTCGTGACTAAGTCATTAGGATATTTTAAATTAAAAATCACAACATGCAAATGAGTGCAAATAAATTTTATTTATGAGATTTTACATAAAAAGTGATTTACTGTTACAACAGATTAAAATAATTATCAGATAATCATCTGCAACAGGTAATCGAGTAACCGACTGGCTACTCCCAGCGCTGACATTCACGTTTATCTTGTTTACTGGTCAAATCTGATTCAACCTAATAATGGGAAGTTGTGAAATGCAGACAAAAAGCTTATTGATAAATTCATGACACGAAAATTTTGAGGTTCGCTTCATGATCGACTCCGACCATATTTTGTAAATTCATCGACAGGGCCAGATCTAAAGGACTTATTAAGGGTTACAACAAAATGAATCTACCATTAACACACAATTTGCAATATAATAGATAGAATGTAGCTTTGGTTTTGCTGTGAGAATAAAAAAATGAACCAGAAATCAGAAAAGCTGGTTATTTGGGACTGAAACTCATAAAAGCTTGAATCAAACAATGATGTAGTCATAGGGTTTTCATGTTCATCAAATTTTGACATTCAAGTATGATGAAATAACAGTTACCTTGCGTATTTTTTCACAGTGTAATCATAAATTTTTTTTAAAGAGAAAAAATAAAAGATTTGCTTTCTACCTTTACATTGCAAGTGTATATAGTGAATAACGGCTACATAATTTGCATTTGATGAAACTTTGAATTAAAGGTTTTTATTTGTATTTTTTATTTTAATGAAATGTGTCTGTGTAGCAAAACACCAATATTTGTTAGTTTTTTTTAAATATAACAGTACCATGAACAACATAAAATAAACCAACAATTAAGAATTTGTTAAATTGGGGTTATTATCAGAAAATACCCTAGTTTAGCAACCTTACCTTTGCATTGAGAGTATTTTCCCTGAATGCTTTCATTCCTTCTGCTCTCAGATTGCAATTCCGAGCCTCGAATTCTTTCACATGACATTGTGTAACAACTTTTCCAACTTCAGCAAAACCAGCAGTGCCAAGATTCCTGTTGCCACTGACAACTAGTTTATCCAACTGGAATAAATCAGATTGATGAACATATCATGATAAACCTGTTCATATAGAATATTGTTGTACCACACTTTTAGAATGGATAATTTCGTTTTCTACGATAACAGCTATGGATACAGTATTACAAGTGTCACTATAATGTCATTTGTAATTTTTTTCTTATAATTAGACCACTGTGTTGAGTTAACGAATTCTCACAGACTTTGCGCGCTTTTTGGTTATTAACTGTCTGAAAATACGTGTGGCTCACAAAGACTGTTCACTCTAAGGAAATTATAAGAAAACTTTTGTACAACCAACGACCTATGTAAGTTGTGAAGTGTACTCCTCGCATGAACAGCAAAGACTTGCACATTTGTGTTACTCCTTTCATCTTACAGACAACGATTGATACATGCAGGTCATTTGTACAAAGCTTGTGCAAAATAACATCCTCCGCCACCGATATCGCTTTAGTATACCACGCTTTCTTGTCCAAAAGAATATGCTTGAAAGTAGTCCCTACTCTCCCCTTTTAGGAGATGGGTTGACGTCATGTTTCCCCGTCCATTTTTTCTTTGAAAGATTACGCGAGATCACTATGAAAGTCCCGTTTACTTTCTATCCGAAAATTTTTTTCTCCAAAATATTACGCAAGATCCCTTTGGAAGCACCGAATAATGAAATAAACGAATGATATTATAGTGGTTCATAAATAATGTTCATAGTAATTACGCCCCGAGTTTAGAAACCTCTAGTATATGTATTTTTGATTGACAAAAGAAAGACAATACATAACCGCTTTTCGGGGACATGGTATTCGTTTTATATCTGCTTTGAACAGAGAAACGAATATGTGCCCTCTCGGTCATTGGATCACAATCAACGATTTATATTCATTTCTTTCGCGGAAATGGAAATGATTACATTCGTTATATTTTGTGTATTTTTTGCACTAATAATTAGGGCGTTACATTATCAAAATCGTCAGGGAAGTAGTGAATTTGCAAATTCCCTAAATAAAATTGTGTTTCGAACATCAAGAGTGTGAATCTCTGTGATTTTGAGAATAACATGGAAATAGGAGCTACAAATGCCAAGCCAAACATGAGCTGATTTAATCAGAAATTTATGAAGATAAATGTAAATAAAGAAAATAGTATGTTTACTATCTACATCAGAGGGAAAGGTTGTTTCAAAATGATACATAGTGACAGTAGATATTAATCATAGTTCAACAAAATTGAAAATCTCGCTATAATAGGGCTTTTCATACCATTTTTATTTGCATTGCTATGCGAAAATTTGATAGACAGTCATAGTTTTGTCAGTCATAGGACCTTCCACATGAAATACGTACTTGATGTATTCAGTATTTCAGATAGTTTGTCTCACTGACCACTCATTTGTACAGGCCTTCACCTACACTTGCAGTCATAGTCTTTGAAGGACATTGTAGCTTTTCTTGACGAAGTTAATTAGTGACATTAGGAATTAAAGATTACAACAAACACATAAGTGAGAAGAAATTTTGATTATGAGATTTTACATAAAATGTGATTCTTACTCTTACGACTGATCAAAATTAATTAACAGATAACCATCTGCAACAGGTAATCGAGTAACCTACTAGCTACTGACATTTACGTTTATCGTGTTTACTGGTTAAATCTGGTTCAACCTAATAATGGGAGGTTGTGAAATGTAGAGAAAAATCTTCTTGATAGATTCATGACAAGAACATGGTGAAGTTCGCTTCATGATCGACTCTGACAACTTTTGTGACTTTAACCACATTTTGCGGATTCATCGACAGCGCCAGAACTAAAGTGAATCTACCAATTTCACACTATTTGTAATATATTAGTCAGAATGTAGCTTTAATTTTGCTGTAAGAATAAAAAAAATGAACCAGAAATCAGAAACTTGGTTATTTGGAAGTGAAACTGACTGAAAGCTCAAATCAAACAATTATGTCGTCGGTGGTTTTTATGTTTAGCAATTTTTGTCATTCCTGTACGATAAAATAACAGTGACTTGGCATATTTTTCTTAACAGTGTGATCATACAGTTTTAATGAGAAAAAAAAGAAATGATGTGCTTTCTACCTTTGCATTGCTAGTGTATGAGGGTGGTGAGTAACGTCCACATAATTTGCATTTGATGGAATTTGTAAATGAAGTTTTTTTCATTCGTATTTTCCAATATTAAATATTTATGAATACCATATTTGACTGAAATTTGTCTGTGCATCAAAATATTAATATTTGTTTGTGTTTAATTCTCTTAGTTCCATAAACAACCTAAAATAATCGAACAATTCAGGATTTGTTAAATTGCAATTGATTCCAGAAAATACCCAATCTTGGCAACTTTACCTTTGCATTGCCAGTGTTTTCCTTGAAAGCTTCCATGCCTTCTGCTGTCAGATTGCAATTCCGAGCCTCAAATGCCTTCACCTGACATTGCAAAACAACTTTTCCAACTTCACCCCAACCAGCAGTGCCAAGGTTCTTGTTGCCACTGACATCTAGTTTATCCAACTGGAATAAATAAGGTCAGTGACAAATCATGATAAACTTGATCATAAGGTTGGATTTGGTCAAAGACTAAATGCAGGAAACTGTCAGGACTTGATTTATGTTGTCATAATGTGTATTAAACACTCTTGTAAAATATATCATGACATCATGAATAAATTTTTAACTTGAATTTATCAGAAAATAAAGTGACTTCTATTTTTCTTCTCAATAAGCAAACAATTTAACTTTATCGAGGTCTAAATGCAGAACAAAGAATAAAAATATTAGTACATAATATTTAGTTTGAGAATTATTTTTGACAATGTATAGACAGCGAGTAATGACTTAATATTCCAATTTCAGAAGGCTCCATACAAGATGTGTTCTTTATACAAGGATAGGACAGTTCATTGCCACACTAAATGACGCTTAATAATTTACATGGGCGATGGAAAGGTGAAGAAGGTTTCTATATACATCAATGAATTTTACAAATTTGATCAAAGTTCTAGATAAGCAATTACAAGATTTTATCTTTACATATACTAACACACATTTTGCATGAGGTGTTGAGTTTATCCTTTGTGGCGTTATGTGTTTTCTATCATAGCACAGATTCAAACAAACATAATGTATTTACTGAAAGATAGATGGAATAGCATATTACTGCAAGTACGTCTAGTGGACTATCCTGGTATTTTCGCATATGACTTTTTCTGAACCCCACCGGACAATGTTTCTGAAAATTAGTCTCCATGCTTTCAAAAAAACGTTATAAATTGACCAAAGTGTAGAGATGAAAGGCCACAATGGTGCCTCGTGTGTGTCGACGATATTATTCAATTACATTTTCAAAACCTAAAGTCAAAATCGACGCTTTTCAGAATGTAGCTTTAATTTTGCTGTAAGAATAAAAAAAATGAACCAGAAATCAGAAACTTGGTTATTTGGAAGTGAAACTGACTGAAAGCTCAAATCAAACAATTATGTCGTCGGTGGTTTTTATGTTTAGCAATTTTTGTCATTCCTGTACGATAAAATAACAGTGACTTGGCATATTTTTCTTAACAGTGTGATCATACAGTTTTAATGAGAAAAAAAAGAAATGATGTGCTTTCTACCTTTGCATTGCTAGTGTATGAGGGTGGTGAGTAACGTCCACATAATTTGCATTTGATGGAATTTGTAAATGAAGTTTTTTTCATTCGTATTTTCCAATATTAAATATTTATGAATACCATATTTGACTGAAATTTGTCTGTGCATCAAAATATTAATATTTGTTTGTGTTTTAATTCTCTTAGTTCCATAAACAACCTAAAATAATCGAACAATTCAGGATTTGTTAAATTGCAATTGATTCCAGAAAATACCCAATCTTGGCAACTTTACCTTTGCATTGCCAGTGTTTTCCTTGAAAGCTTCCATGCCTTCTGCTGTCAGATTGCAATTCCGAGCCTCAAATGCCTTCACCTGACATTGCAAAACAACTTTTCCAACTTCACCCCAACCAGCAGTGCCAAGGTTCTTGTTGCCACTGACATCTAGTTTATCCAACTGGAATAAATAAGGTCAGTGACAAATCATGATAAACTTGATCATAAGGTTGGATTTGGTCAAAGACTAAATGCAGGAAACTGTCAGGACTTGATTTATGTTGTCATAATGTGTATTAAACACTCTTGTAAAATATATCATGACATCATGAATAAATTTTTAACTTGAATTTATCAGAAAATAAAGTGACTTCTATTTTTCTTCTCAATAAGCAAACAATTTAACTTTATCGAGGTCTAAATGCAGAACAAAGAATAAAAATATTAGTACATAATATTTAGTTTGAGAATTATTTTTGACAATGTATAGACAGCGAGTAATGACTTAATATTCCAATTTCAGAAGGCTCCATACAAGATGTGTTCTTATACAAGGATAGGACAGTTCATTGCCACACTAAATGACGCTTAATAATTTACATGGGCGATGGAAAGGTGAAGAAGGTTTCTATATACATCAATGAATTTTACAAATTTGATCAAAGTTCTAGATAAGCAATTACAAGATTTTATCTTTACATATACTAACACACATTTTGCATGAGGTGTTGAGTTTATCCTTTGTGGCGTTATGTGTTTTCTATCATAGCACAGATTCAAACAAACATAATGTATTTACTGAAAGATAGATGGAATAGCATATTACTGCAAGTACGTCTAGTGGACTATCCTGGTATTTTCGCATATGACTTTTTCTGAACCCCACCGGACAATGTTTCTGAAAATTAGTCTCCATGCTTTCAAAAAAACGTTATAAATTGACCAAAGTGTAGAGATGAAAGGCCACAATGGTGCCTCGTGTGTGTCGACGATATTATTCAATTACATTTTCAAAACCTAAAGTCAAAATCGACGCTTTTTCTACTACAAAATAATTCAATTATAATGTAGATATTGATAAATTTTAGAAAAATGCCAATATTCCTCCTTTAAAATATTTTGCTGGGTGCCACCAACTTATGTTGCCTGATTACATTATAAATTCAACAAACAAACTGAAGAAGAAGAAAGATGAAACTTTGCATGATCTTGATAGACAAGTATTTTTGTATCCACATGGAAATGTTAGGATATTTAATCGTTCTAAGACAAACACCTGATAAAAAAAAAATTATCATATAATCTTGGATTCTAAAATTTCAAACCTTTCCACAAGTTTTCCATTTGCTCAGTTCCATCAGCTGCTCTGTAGTTGCATGTAACTCTTCACATGGATCAGTCAGAAGATTCTTGACTTCACTCTGAGTTGCAACTTTAGCGATTGCAAGAAATAGATCGAATGTGATCTCGGAGTTGTTGCGAACATCAAGAGTTCGAATCTGCGTGATTTAGAGCATTGGTTATCAAAGTACTCCATACGGATCCCTGCGCTGCACGAGACAAACGTAGGCGCTCCGTGAGCTATGCAATTATTTCTCACAATAATGACTTGGCTATTTTTGTAACTGTCCAAATAAGCAATGACAGCGTAAATAACATTTGACAACAGTATTCTCGAAATATGGCAACAAAGCGGATCAAGTATGACATTATTTATAAACAGGAGCACAGCCAGGATTCTTAAAAGGGAGGAGAGTTCAAAATTGGATCCGACATACCCGCGCAACTTTCTTCATGATTGGGCCAATCGGTTAAAAAGACTTTTTCAGCAGATAACAAGTTTTCTGTTGAGTAAAGTATTCAATCCATGACCGATGCTAGTATTTAAAATGTCTTGAAATAATAATTTAATTGTGTTAATCATTATTCACTTTTGATTCGAGATTACTATTCGGTTGACTGAAGATTAGGTACTATTCTGGAATAACATAAAATAGTGCCAACTTTAAATAGATTGGAATTGTGTTTTTGCAATCTTGGGACTCGTGAAATTTGATTTGTTCTTTCAGCGCTCGAGATTATTTTTAATTAAATAAGATATTGCCGATACCAAAATCCCAAGGTCGGCGTTAAAGAGTCAATGAGTAAAATTCATTAGTGCGTGATCCATGACTGATGCGTTTATTGGATCACCTTAATTGTGTTCAATGTTACCTGTGGTTACCTTACAAAATACGAATACTTGGAATTTATTTTATTGCAATAAAAAATTGATTGATATACTCTTTACATTAATTATATTGAAATCATCGCATACCGAGAAAATGTCGCGTGTCGTTCCAGTTTTAACAATATATAATGCCACTTTTCAATCAATAAATTTGGGTTGTGGATTCAAGTCTTTAATAATTATTAGTTGAATGAAGTGTTAGCAAGTTGGCAACGAATTAAAAATGAAGAAATGATTGTCTCGTTAATAAATGTGACATTATAAATTTATATTCTAAGATTTCAAACCTTTCCACAAATTTTCCATTTGCTCAGTTCCATCAGCTGCTCTGTAGTTAGATGTAACTCTTCACATGGATCAGTCAGAAGATTCTTGACTTCACTCCGAGTTGCAACTTTAGCGATCGCAAGAAATAGATCGAATGTGATCTTAGAGTTGTTTCGAACATCGAGAGTGTGAATCTGTGTGATTTAGGAAATAATATAAAAATTAAGGCTGCATATACAACGCTCAACATAACTTAAAATAACCATAAATTCTATGGATTGAAGATGTGATAGTATATGATGTTATAAATTCTGTTTAGAACACAAAAAATATAGCTAACATGAGTACAAGTCCTGTGGTGAAATTTGAATGTAATAAATATTCAGAACAGTTGGTTTAAGACTCAATTTTGTACCTTTAGTGTTTTTATGGAAAGTTTCAAAATTTGCTCATGAGGGCTTCATTTTTTGAACTTTCGAAATGTTGGGTCGTTGTAATTGCATTTAATCAACGTAACTCACGGTTGTGTCTACTTATGACACTTAGAAGACATAAACATAGTAGACATAAAACATTAATAATGAAGGAATTATATCTGTGGCTGAAATAAATATATTAGCCTCTGTTAACATGTTGCTTCTCTTATCCAGGTGTTCTTGTATTTAACAAAATATCTTGGTGAGTTGAATGAAGTGTTAGCAAGTTGGCAACGGATTGAAAATGAGGGAATTAATCCCTCGTTCATAAAATAACACCTTACGACAAAATCAATGAAGAAATTTAGATTTTAAAATTTCAAACCTTTCCACAAGTTTTCCATTTGCTCAGTTCCATCAGCTGTTCTGTAGTTAGATGTAACTCTTCACATGGATCCGTCAAAAGATTCTCGACTTCACTCTGAGTTGCAACTTTAGCGATTGCAAGAAATAGATCGAATGTGATGTTGGAGTTGTTTCGAACATCGAGAGTGTGAATCTGTGTGATTTAGAGAAAGCTAAGAAAATTGCAAATGCTGACGCAAACGTACGTAAATATCGTAAAATAACAAATATTTATGTAATAGGTTTAAATAAGTATTAAGTTAAATTATCAAGTGTTTCATAATGTATAGATTGTGAACAAATTTTGCAGCATCCATATTAAGAATTTGATATTACAATTAGTTACTTTAGCTCTTGATTGATGAAAAAGTAAGTATAAACTTTCAATTTTGATTTGCTTTTCAGGTACTCATCATAGAAAGTTCAGTTCTTCGAAAAAGATAGTATGGATAAGTAGTCCAATTTAGGTATTGTTTGCATTTTTCGTCAACCCACAGAATGGGCAAGGAGATTAAAACCCTCTTCCAGCCGACTAGTCCATATGAGATAAAATTTATATTTACGCTAGCGATGGGTAACCTACTGTTAATATCGCTCTCAGCTATTTATTGACGTAATGCCCTGATGTGAGAGAAGCGAGAAATCCTTCCAGCCGTGGCGCAAAGTGCGAATCGTATAAATAGCATGGATTTCCAAATCGCCTGGCAGATGTCTGAAAATGTCGACGCGACTCAGACAGGAAATCAATGACATTAAATACATTATAATGACTTATTATTGGTTCAGCATGTATTTTCAGTCATACATACCATCTCTGGCCCTGTGTTGTTTTGATAAACATGATTTCGACTGCACCATACTCGGCAGAGGTATGGAGATTTTTGTATATGAAAAAAACGTAAAATTATTGGTAATTTTCACGCATAACTGCTTGTATTGGATTGTTTACGTCGTTCTACGCGCATTTCCGTCTAAAAAAGTTTTTTTTTTTTTTACATTGGGGGTGGCTGTGCAGTAATAATTAGGGCTGTGACGTCATGAAAATCGTCAATTGAAGCGTTGAACATGATAATTCCGGAAATACAATTGTGAATTTCAGAGTAACCATTTATGTTATAATAGTCGTTTCGGTATTGTTATGTTGGGAAAAACTTGACGAAAACAATGAAATAAAATTAATTAATTAGGAATTAATTATTAACTCTCTACTGTTCACAGAATATCTCAAGGTCTCATGTTTTTAGAAATTTTTTTTTGGAGGAGTGTGTTTTAAAGATATATTGTTGAATAGAACTCTAGCACACGCTTTTAAAAAGCTATGAGTGAAGCTTGAGGGCTCAATTTTTGACAAAAAAAAAAAATTTAAAATACCCATGCAAAATGGCATGGGGTTTGGGCGCCAAGAGGGTTTTAAACCCAAGAAAATGAGATGAAAATTGCTGTTTGGCACAAAGCATATAAATCAGTAAGGCAAACTCAGCGCCTCTTTTACATAGAACTTAGAATGAATTAAGCTCTAAATCTCTTCCTCAGAGCGTCCACTCTTTGGTCCTCCTTATCTTATCGTGCATTAACTACTACTGATCCAGTTTCCATAAATATACGATGAATTGCATAAATTGTTCGTCGTGTAGAAGCCGAATTAATACCGAATTCTCCGTTAAAGAGGCGCTGGGTATGACTTACTTTTGCCAATCAGCAATTTTGCACCCCATTTCTTGGGTTTATCTCCTTGTCATTCTGCGGGTTGATGAAAAATGCAAACAACATCCGAATTTTACTACTTATCTATATTATGTTTTCTGAAAAAATGAACGCTCTTTGATTAGTTCCTGAAAAGCAAATTAAAATTAAAAGTGTATACCTATTTTCGAGACACCGTGTATAATGAATAATGAAACCTGCTTCTTGGTACTGACGATTGTAACTATGCTTATGGAAAGTTCCGTAACAGTTCAACGTTACTTTTGTCATTATGCTCAAGTAAAGCCATTCCACAATTTTCAAAATATACTGAAATTTTTGTTAGTGAAACTTCGAAGTAGTTATTGGTTACATGAATGTCACATAAAATGATCGATCAAGGAAACTACAAACTTTCAAATGAGTTCCCATAAAAATCTATTTTGAATTCAGAAAAATCTCATAAATGCATTTGACTTTTCTGGGTGGAAATAGATAACCAAATTTCCTGCATGTTTTTGATAAGTAGTGTTCTTTATTGGTTAAATATCTTTGCTTCAGGGGCACAGCCAGGATTTTCAAAAGGGGGAAAGGGGATTTTAAATTCAAAATTTTAGAAGCAAAAAGTAAACTTTCAGTGACTTTCTGTTTCGAAAGCCAACCAACCCATTTATTCAATCTACAATCTCTAAAATAATTTGTTTTTGAGCAGTCGTGTGCCTCCTAAATAAAATTATAGTGTCTCCGTTTTCTTTTTAATATTTTATATTGCAGCTTTTCAATCAAGAAAATTCGTTGGCAAACTCACTTCTTTCAAATATTTTATTTTTGTTCTCTCTCACTGATTCACAGTCCCATGGAATAAAAAAAAGTAATTACCATCGGCACTATACTATATATGTTGATAAAAATTTGTGACTTAGGTGGAATAAAGACTGAGGTGTTTACAACCTAAATAACACGACACGCAGACAAAAATAATCGGCCATTTTAACAAAATGCAAACTCACGCATTATCAGCAAATTTTTCATTATACTAAAAATTTTAAGGGGGGAGTAGGGGTTCGACTCGAAAAACCCTTACTCTTTCACTGTTCTGGTTCATACCTCATAAACTCAAAAGTAGTTTTTTTCATCTAGACATGGTATCTTGAGACAGACCAACCTTGAATCCCGAATTCCTTCCAAGTGCATCAGTTTTATCTTTGGTGAGACCGCACATTTGAAGTTTGAGCCCCATTTCTTTTCCATCAATACTTGCCAAAGCAGAACCAAGACTTTTGAAAGCTTGTTTATTCATTTGATTTCCACTGATATCTAGCTCAGATACCTGCATAGATGGAACAGTAGAGTCAGCGTAAATGTATAAGAGGTGGTAGTAATTCATGACCAACAAGAATTGGTTATAAATAAATTATTTAAATGAAGTGTTTGCTAATGCTAAGGTAGGCAAGTTTTAATTACATAATTACAAACAAATATACAATGCTGCTTAAGCCTTTTAGCGGGGTTAATTAAGAGGTAGATCTACGACGTGGTGTATAATTCTGAGCGTTAGGAATTTGCTTGCCATAGCACTTCTGATTTCCCCACGTGAGTTTGCAGTTTTGAATCTAGTGTGGGATTATGTGACAGAGGATTGCACGACATGTCGACGCCGTAGGGTGATTCACGTAAACACTGGTCGGTTACGGTTTCCTACAACATCAATACCATGCTTCTGAAAACAAAAATAACTGGCTAACTTATTCTTTATCCGACATGGATTAGGAACCGGACGAGATGCAATTTATCGTAACCGGATTAAGTGGTTTTTATCACCCCTGGATGAATGTATAAATCCTATCCTAAGTTTGGAAAATTAATAATAGAAATGAAAATGGGTCATATTCTCATATTAGCAACAGTAGTAAAGATTGCAGTACTCTTGCCTTCAATCCTGACCCTTTCAAATTCAACTCCAAGCATTTCATCAACTCGGCATTAAGGCCACATTTAACAAGACGAAACTGCTCAAGGTGATCACAACGTCGCATAACCGACGACATTGCGTACATTCCTGCAGCAGTAAAAGACTCATTTTCAAAGTTGATTTTTTGCACATGGGATCGAATGAGTTCGGCATCATTGGCCTCATACAAGGCACCGAACAACTCCAACTTTTGATACGCTTCTGTACATTGACTTATCTTAGCCTTCAGGTTTTCTCTAAGTAATGCTTCCTTCTCTTTTCGATCGATCACTATTGAAAAATTGATAAATTTAATTAACATTTATTTGTATGATGTTGTAGCTCTACCTGGGCATATACTTACCAGTTGTAAGGTCTTTCAGGAATTCAGTTTTGATATCTTGATTGAAAATATTTCCACACAGGAATCGCAGAACAACTGACCAGTGATCATCGTGAATCTCTTCAGTGATAAATGATTTGAAAGTGGCAAGATCCATGTTAGCAATGTAAAGACTGGCTAGGATTTCTTGAAGGATTTGGTGACTGAAGAACATCAAACTGTCGCCTTCCATGAGATGTTGGCAAAGCATGTTATTTCCAGGCACTTTTATGATAAGATCGCGAACCTCATCTGAATGAAGGCCAAACTTCTGAAGATCATCGATAGTAAAAATTACTCGCTTTTCTTTTGTGCCTTCGAATGACATTCCCATTAATTTGCGAATATTTTGTTTCAAGTTCCTTCTTTCCTGAGCATGAACGGATCGCATAAAAATATAGAGTATTTGTATCATTACATCTGTCATGGTATCGGGTGGATTTGCAGGGTTGAACTTGTGAACTATCGCATTAAGAAGCAAGAATAATGGTACGCTCGAGAACTGGATGAGCGATGGTGATTGAACTGTCAACCTATTCCAGGATTCTTCTCCTGACTCACCTAAAACTGCAATAAATAACTTTTTGATGTCCTCACGTTCTAGACCAGCGAGGGCAGTTATGAATGGAGGCCGTAATTGCAGAGGCAAAGATGCGATTTTGTGTTCTCATGATGAAATAACTATTTTTGCTCTGCGGAAAAGATTTTTTGTTAAAATATTGTATATAATTGTAGCGGTACTTGACTTGTCAAAATAATTCATCTTGTTATGGTTTCCATTAAGATCCCACATAGCTTGATCTAGACCATCAAAGCAGAAAATACACTCGGAATCATGCTCAATAACCCATTCATATCCATCTTCTACCTCTAACCCAGGAGCAATCTTTCCAAAAAGCAAATCGCAAGGGCTCAGTGCTTCTTCTGGTCTTGTAGCATAGGAAACCGGCATATCTTTAAAACCGAAGTGATGAACAAATTTAAATTGACGTCTTTTTCTGCTGAACAATTTGCTGAATGTTCCTTTTACTTTCCTAGCTTCCTTCACCAAGTCATTTGCAACAGCAACACTTCGAGACACGCGTTTCATAATAGTCGTTTTGCCACTTCCAGCCTGTCCCGCAATTGCGATGTACTTACAGCTTTCATCATCAAGCTGTTTGATCAGTTCATTTATAGTCATCACCTCCCCTATTTCTTCAGATCCCTCTGTTACAGCAAATTCTTTTTCTTTCTTGTACTCATCAGCCATTTGGCCCCCATAGAAGTTTGGAACTTTCTTTAATTTAGGATGGACCTCGAAATCAGGCTCATTGAGCTTTTTGTAATTTTCTGCAACTTTGACTTCAGTTTCTTTCCATGTCCTCTTGTTGAAATATTTAATGAATTTTCTCACACGCCGACCTGAAGATTTTATGGTTTTCATTGCTCATTATCTATGGTAGCTAGAAAGTCTATCTGGTTAGACATAGATTGAATAGCTAATTATTGTAGTAGAGAGAGTAGTAGTAGTAGAGTAACATCATTGTATGTAATTCTGCGACTTTTTTCTTTGAATCAATTGTTCTTATAAAAGTGTCTTCATTATCTGATGAAGTGTGTTTGTGAAAAAAAAACTCTAGCAAAATAGGTATCACTCTTTGCATGTAATTACATTAGGTTTTGGTACGAACAAACCATTATTGTGAAACTTGATCATTTCAAAGGTTTAAAACTTATATATGTAGAATATTATGTCAGTGCAAATGTGAATGAATACTAACACAAATATTTACCTTTGTGAATTTTGCGAGATACTTTCTCGAGAACCCCTAAATAAAAAATGGTAATAATGAATTTCTAATCCTATAAGCTGATAATTGCAAATTAATTAGAAATTTTTCATATTTTTAATTATTATAGATTACAAAAACTGATCTAAATAATTCAATCATATTGGTGTTGTAATCATATACTGTATGTTTCATTTTAAATATTCGCTAAATTACATTGTAGAAGCTTGATAGAGTAGTATTCAAGGCGCTGTTACTATTGCTGTTAAACAAGTTGGGTATGAGCATGCCCTCCTGAAGAAAGAGTAAAATAACGCACTCGGGATGGGAGTACATATAGATTCAATCACTAGTTCGACAGGGTTTCCATAAGATATCAATCCACTCACAGCTTGATGTGACTAGGGAAGCTCATTGCTATACACATCTAAAATTGTCAATAACGAAATACCCTGCATAGAAGTTCCGATAACTAATGAATTGGGTTGCCATATTTTTTTGACTACAAAGCTGGACGCCTCCAAAGACACAACCACCTAGCTGTGATCCTGTATTTTTACAGTTTCTAATTTTACTACATAGGCCTACATTTAATGCCATCCCGGCTGTCTTCATTGACCATGTTGTCTTCGAGAGTTCATGCGCATATTCTCTGTCTAAATATCGGGTTCAGTTCGAAAAATAGAAAGGATTATACGCTAACGATATAAATGATTCGAATTTAGATTTTATATTTTTATGTTTACATATATATTTTTACAGCAAAAAGAATGAAGAGTAATTTTTCATTCGCCCAAGCATGCTTTTCTGTAAATAACACCGTCAAAAAGACGTTGTTCAATGTTACATTCACGTGAACTTCCGAACAGGACCAAATAGAATATTTTACATCTGATACGTTCGCTAACAATGCTAGCGGGAAACAACAAAACAAACAACATAACTCATAAACCTTCAGTAAGGAGGCTAGCGTTGCGCTACACAGCAACGAGAACATGTTCGTGTATTATGCTGCATGGCTGAACGTGAAAGCGGGACTTTTGGCTGACTTGTCGGGACGGCGCGACAAGACGCTAAAAAGCGGGACGTATGGTAAGCCTACTAATGAATGATATTCAATCAGATATTTAGGTATTCAGTCAAAGAAAGTTTGCAATGATACAAGTGATGCCAAGAAGTTCCATTTGAAATCAGGTATGAATTGCCAAAGATTGACTTTGAACATTTCCGGCTTTATTAAATTTTGAATTTCTGAGCTTTCTCGGCTTAAGGTTGATATCATATTGCGTGGTTTTGAACCGAGATAATATCTTTCATGTGGACACTCTTGCTTGTTTTCACCTCCATTCCAAGAATTACTGATACGATTCCACGCTTTTCTATAAATGGGTGTGGTCAAGGGGCAACCACACTTACTAGGCATCTATAAGATTAAGCCAATTCAACATTCAATACTTTCTGACCCCGTAACAATGTTGAGCTTTGAATGCTAAAATCCTTGCTCTACCTTACCTTGGTGAATTCTTAGTTCCTGTTCGGAGTCCTTTTGCAATTTGACAGCGGAAACAATTTCAGAAATCCCACATTAGTGTGATTATATGTGAATAATTGAAACTGAATATTAGCAGAGCATAGTCTAATTATTACTGCAACTAACCTAAAACACTGTCAAAAATGATGATTAAATTTGAAGCTTAAGTTTGTTAAGTATGAATAAATTGCAAATGTCCAAACACGAAATACGCTCACAGACACTGTGAGATCCTTGAAAAATAACATTATCTGAAAAGCATGCTCAAATTCATTTCTTTTTGCTTGATGCACTTTGGCTTCACCTGTTTGAATGTCATGGGTAATATTGAGCCGTTGCAAGCTGATTCACATAACCACTGTGTGATTACGACTTTGTCCACAATCAATTACAGCTGAAACAAACAACTGGCTAAACTATTCTCACACCTGGCATGGGCTGGTTATTGGATGAGAGGTCATTGTTCACTATACGATTGAGCTACCTTATCGCCTACGGAGATAAACATGAAAATCCTACGCTCAATTGAATTGAGTTGCTGAAAAAATATATAAAAGAATCAACAATTTGGGAAGCACTTCGGATATTGATACCAATAGTAATAAATCGGGATATCAGCAGAGCATGTATCTTCTGCCAACTGTGTGTCACTAAACTATGAGGAAAACTGATAATGCAACAAAACATATGGAAAATCAATTCCAGGAATGAATCCTTGAACAGATTTCAACTCCATCCATGTCTAGAACCTACTGAGGTCGCCTAAACACCTATCCATTCTCTCCGTCATTCGCCAAGATTGTCCTGTGATTACACAACATATCTAGGTCTCTCGAGAAGAATAAAGCAATTTGCGGTCGAGTAATTCAACTAACAGTAGTTATATTCATGTAATCAATGGAACCGTTTGAAATTACAGAATATAAATTACTCAAAAAGAGACTGCTTGGTTGTAATAATTTTCACTTGTAAATACGAATATTTACCATCATAAATCATAACCCGGTTACTTAAATTTTCCAAACTGATACAGTTACCGTAGTTTACGTACTATAAAGTGCACTTTAGATCTTTCTTCTTCTTAAAAATTGATTGTGCGCCTTATAAGCCGTGGGGGGATATCAATTGCACAAGAAACACGATACGGGAGTATTTTATCATGTGGAACTACATACATTTTTAGAGTTTCTTGCAAACTTTCAAGGTATTTAATATATGCAGTAACACCTTACAAATTACATGCAATATCGAGAAAGATTTGCCTTGTATACCTTCAGAACTGAAAGACTTTAATTATTGCTACAACTGAATTCTCGCAGACCTTGACGAATGTATTCGGAAGTCTACCTTCTCTTCTATACGCTTGTAGTAAAAAAAAATACTGATGAATTAGCCTTAAAACTCAAGATTATGCCTATCAGCTAACGCATACAGCAGGTAGCAATAGTAGCATCTGTATGATGTGTCAAGGCGCTATCAGGGTATCCCGATATCCGTTGGTCACTCCATTAGTTGCCGTCACGTAGTTGGGCATTAGGGGGAGAGGCTCTAACGACAAGGACTGGTAGAGTTATAAATGCCGCTCAACGAACACAATCTAAAGCGTTGCTCAAAAGTGAATTGTTGCAATAATTAAAAGTTTCTGGAATACCATTTGAAAAGCACACACATTTTTTTTTAAACAGGAGCCTTTAAATGCCTTCGCAACAGCGTAAGGCATTTAAAAGTAGAACTCTCGTATTAATAACAGTGAAACAACAACGAATAATTTTCAGTGTTGCTTGTATCCCGCTTAATTTTGCCAATCTTCGTATGGATATTACTTGGTATATTCAATTTCAAACTAATTGCCTAACCTTACCTCGGTTTGGACATTTATACTTTTGGTTGATTCGACGATTGTTATTTAGGGGGTTTTGTCAGTCAGTCAAAGAACAAATATCTTGATAAAATTTTACTTCACAGTATTTCGAATCTGCCACAATTCGCAAATATTTACTAATTTTAAATAACTATTTTTTTTTTAAAATAATTTTGTTTTTTACTAGAATCTGAACCTTGTGCCATTGCTTGCAAATTAACATTAATGTATAGTAAGTCTTAAATATATATTAGTTACCGCACAGAAGAATTTCCTTCAGAATGTGCAGTGTGATAAAAGGGCTGTGGAACGACGTTGTTATTTGTTGAACCTTATATGGTAACCGACACTCTCAAAAGTCATTGCGTCTCATAGCCTGTTGCGCCGTATAAACCGGTCCATAACGTCCATAAAAATATGGTTTATTTCAGGTAATGATTTTTTACTTCTACTGATCCTTTTTTATGAGCCTGTCATGTGCTTAGCAACATTGGCATAGTACAAATGGAACAAAATGACATATACATCTGTACCGGAAGTGTGAGTAAACTGAATTTTTTGAATGTAAATCAATAATATTTGTGATATACCTGATGGTGTGGGATCACCTTTATATACAGGGTCGGGAGCTGTTTTTGGCCGAGCAGCTGCTTCAGTCGGCCTTTGCTTTGTGGGTGATGAGATACTTGAAGATGGTTGGTCTAAATGCAATGGGTGAAGGTGTAATACAAGCTACGTTAAATTTACGACTAATTGGGGTTATATCAGTACTGTTCAGTATGCCCTGGCTTAAAAATAAAAGAGTTTTGCTGTTGTTGTTCAAGCAACAAGCCCAAGCATCTGGCAACAAATAATTGGTCAACTCATTCTGTACCCGTTCTGTAACCCGTGGTAAACAAAAGAGAGATCGTGGTATGTCATATGATTCGGCTGTTTCATCGGCTTTCCTAAATCCTATCCTAATTGATTCCTGCATCCATGATAGTGAAGTCCCAACAAACTGAAAGACGCAATGAGCCAAAATCTTGATTGATATTAATTAAATCTTTTTTATACCGTCTATGCTATATATTATAAAAATATTGATCAGACACAAATGGCCTAGATTATGGTAACTAACAAGTGTTGCAAGTAATCTTCAAAAATCCATCAAAAAGGTATGAGAATGTTCAAAATTGGATGAAACATGTTGGAACATTAACTAAATTATGATTATGTTTGATAAGATTCGTAAAACGTGAAAGTGTTTTTAAACAACTAAATGTGTGTAAACAAATAATCAGATTAACTCAATCGTACTTAAATTCTGAATCATAGGTTTGGGCTTGAGATTCTTTATTTAAACCACCAACTTAGATTTACTGGTTGACAAAGCAATGAAGAAAAGCTGGGGCCAGGTCTAAATCATCAAAAGTAAAGTATGTATTATGCTTTGTTTCATTTAAATTTGTAATAAAATATAATGAAACTGCAAAAAGTAGATTGACTTTACTTAGTCCGGCCTGCCACTGCATTTTGAATTTGCTATTTGGCCACATAGAAAAAATATTCATTCAGCCCTGTTCTACTAGGCCATGATGTGCCTAACAAGATGCCTAATAATAAATATAAGAGAATAAATATTGTTACCATGATCTTGGAAAATGTTAACAACGAATTTTTCAACCTTTTTCACATACACGTCCTTGGGACTGGTGATGACTGTTTCTGCAAAAACAAATTGTTATAACAAATTAAATAAATTACGAGACTCAAGAATATCGAGAGCATAAGAGATAGATTTGCTATTTCAGCCGTGGTAAATTCGACTGGTTCAAAAAATTTTGGAGTCCTAATCGCAGATGAATTTGTTGTTCATCTATTGGGTAAAACTTTCTTCATATGGATGACCATATTCACTTATAAATTTCAACTAGCTATTTTTAAATTATAGGTTATTTTGGATTATTATTCTTTTCATAGAAATTTTTACGTATAATAAAATAATTTTATTTTTAGTAATCTTCAAAATATTTTACATTTATTACTGTAAAATACAACCTACCATCAATGTTTGTTACATTCTGCACGACCTTCTTAGCATGAACTTCATGAATCTGAGAGTCGGTTATATTTGTCTCTGTAAAAATGAAATAATTTGTAAATAGAATATTATATTTCAAATCTGGCAATGAAGTGAAATTGTGCTATTTACATATACCCAATTGTGTTGTTTTAAAATAATGTATGTGATATTCATTGAATGAAACCACTTAAACTAACTAAATAGAGTACATAATAGAGTACATAATTCTTCAATCTCATGATACCAATCCCTGAATCTGTTCCTTTCATTCAACTTACATTAGAGAATAACCAACTGAAAGTATGACTGTCTGTAATAAGTAACAATGTACAGAGGAAGGGTTGTGTCAACCAGAGCACATACACACAGACATGTCACAGAATCCATTGTAATTTAATGCCATAAATTAGGCGAGTAGCATTATGCCCTACAATGCATACCAAGCATTGGTTTGAAGATTGGTTCTAGATTGCGTTTTATGACAAACAATTTGCTAACACATGTGTTGGGCTGTGGGTAATGTTTAGATTATTTCAATTCTGGTAATAACCTTGAGATCTAGTACACCATATCATTAATCCATTCTGCCTTGCTACGTTATTGGGACAGCCCAGTATATGAAAATAGCAAAACAAGTATATTTCGTATCATGGAATCATTGGTATAGTTATCTGAAGGTTGGAATGTTTTTAGTTGCCATTCCTCCTAGTGAGGAGAAAAGATGATTTACCCCTAAAGTTAGCACTTGAAATTGAATGTTAACAACTTACATACCCTAGCCTACTATAAATGATCATTCCTTAACTATTGTCCAAAGTTCATGTTCATCATAGAATGCTATATTCTATTCAGTAACATCGTATGCCATATATTCCAAATAATGAATAGAAATAAATTATTCTAACATTACACAAATGGAATGGAACTTCCTGAAATAGAGACAAATGATTTGAAAGTGGATTCTAAAATGTTATTTATGCGAATCAAACCTACCTTCAATGTTTGTAATATTCTGCACGACCTTCTCAGCATGAACTTCATGGATCTGCTCAGTTCGAACTTCTTGAATGTGAGAGTCAGTAATGATTGTTTCTGGAGAAAAAAATAATTTGTATTTCAAATATGATATTTTAAAATCTGGCAATGAAGAAAATTTGTGATTTTTCTATTCCCCCGATCTGGTTAATCATTAAAATAATATATGTGATATTCATTGAATGAAACCACTAAAACTAACTTAATTGGCTGAGAGTACATAAATTTTCAATCACACAATACCAAACACCGCAGCTGTTCCGTTCATTTAACTTACATTAGGAAATAGCCATCAGAAAGCCTGATTGTCTGTAATACATAACAATGTACAGAGGGTTCATTTATATCTAAATAATCTACAACAGGGGTTCCCAACTTTATTTGCGTCACTACCCCCATCGGATATTTTCTAACATTAAATTTAAATTGAAACTAGTATAGATATCTAAGTGACACAAAACTAATGATTGACAAAACTGTATCTAGGTGACCAAAAACTGATGACATCACTGGGTTCACATTCATCACAATCAAATGAAAAAAAAAGTTGTGGGAGAATATATAAGAGAGAAGCTCTCTCAAATTCGTCTTGGTATTCAATGGTAAAAATTAAAAAGTTGGCATGGATAGTGTTAGAAAATACCCATCTGAAAGCCTGGTTTTCTGTAATACGTAACAATGTACAGAGGGAATGTTATGCCAACCATAACACATAAACACAGTCATGTCACAGAATTTCAAAGCCTGGAGGGGAACAACACAAGTAATCGGAGGGGAACGAGGGGATCAATCGGTGAGCAAGGATCTTTCTATACAAGTACTGGTATGAGATGACTCACTAATTTAATTGAAAACGAAGCTTTATGACTCTAATAAGATAAGCAGGGTCGGAGCAAACAGATTGGATAGTTAATGGTTGGGCAATGTCAAGACAGTATCGAACATACTGTTAGAAAACATTCTTCTGAGTGGGACATAATGAAAGAAAAAATTACAAAATATATTTATACACCCCGATTTCTAATGAAAATAAAAGTCGATAAATTATGGCGATATGTCAATTATTAAAAACTACCAAATAAAAATAAAACATGATAACATTACGCAGGTGGCAAAGTGATCTGCAATAAAATCAGAGTATTGGCTTGAAAATTGATTCTAGGTTGTGTTTTATGCCAAACAATTTGCTAACACATGTGTTGTGCTGTGGGTGATGTTTAAATTATTTCAACTCTGGAAATTCTGTGGAAACCGTCCTACCATCAATGTTTGTGACATTCTGTACGACCTTCTCAGCATGAACTTCATGGATCTGCTCAGCTTGAACTTCTTGAATCTGGGAGTCAGTTATGGTCGTTTCTGTAAAAATGAAATAATTTGTATTTGAAATAAAATATTTCAACATGAAATTTAGTAGCTGCCACCTGTCCAGACCACAAAGTTTTTTGTCTAATCTATCACACAATTGGCAAAATTAGCCATTTATGGAAATGCTTCTCAATTGGGGAAGAATAACGCCCAAGGAAGATATTTTACTGTTATAAGGAAGAAATTTTGTTCGTTTTGTATACATATATATATATCATAAGCTCGTCGTATTGAGGACATACTGCGCAGCACAAATATTAATTTAGATTTTTATAAAGATTCACTTTAAACAAAATTGAGCATTGCATTAGAAACCGTTTCTTCAAAAAATGAATAATAAATGTGGTTTTATTCAAACAGAGAGGGAGGGATCCAAAATAGGTAAAAAGAAAAATTCAATAAAAAAAGGTTGGAACCACAGACTCATGGTCAAATTAATGAGTGCGTGGTAAAAGTGTTCTGAAGTGGGGGACCCTAGTTTGGTTCTGGGATTGGTCAATCCAAAACCTTAAAAATTGATTTCCATTATTTCCCATTTAAATTTTTTCGCCTATAAACAAATTTATTTTTACCGCAACTGATTAGGATAGATTTCATAGGAAAAAGTAGTTTGTAAAATATTTCATTCTGCGACTCCCTGAAAAGTGCTTCGCGACCCCTTCGTGGGTCTGACCCCCAGGTTGGGAACCACTGATATATAATATAACTTCAATTTGCATGTTATGGCGATATGTCAGTTATTCCCAAACTACAAATAGATGAAATACATGATAACATGATGCAATTAGCATAGAGCCCTGCATCAGATACCAAGCATTGAGTTAAAAGTGGTTCAAGTTTGTTTTTTATAAGAAACATTTTTCTAACACAAGTTTCGGTTAATAAGCAAGTTCAAATTTTTTTTTTTTTCAAGTCAAACCTACCATCAATGTTTGTTACATTCTGCACGACCTTCTCAGCATGAACTTCATGAATCTGCTCAGCTCGGACTTCTTGAATCTGAGAGTCAGTTATTCTTGTCTCTGTAAAAAAGAAATAATTTGTAAAGAAAATGTTAGATTCTCAAAACTTGCAATATTGCAAGAATTAAAATTGTGATAATTCCACATTTCGTTGAATATTAAAATAAGGTTTCAACATGATATTCGTTAAATGAAACCACTCAAACAAACTTAAGGAGACGAGAATGCATAATTCTTCAGTGACATAAGCAAAATGCATGGGAAAGTCTAATATTATTGATAAGTCAATGCACTGAAAGCAGAATTCAATGGAAACTCATCATTGGGTGCCCAACTACAATAGATGTTATATTTGTCTGTCTGGAAGCCTAGCTGTCTGTAATAACCAATTTGTAATGATGGAGGGTTTGCCAACCAGACCACATGCACACAAATATGTCACCCCATTGAGAGGGAAGATTTTGTGTGACAGATTTTGGGGCAACTATACGCAAGGTTTTATACAAGTACTTGTATGAAAGAATTTCAATTCGATTACCAGTTTGATTTATATGTTGTCAATTTATCGCTACAAACCGGAAATTAAAAAATTCTTTAAGTATAGTTGTTTTCTCAACCATGTCTGTTAGAATAGTGTTTCCCAAACTAGGGTCCGCGGACCCCTGGAGGTCCGTGATGACTGCACAGGGTGTCCGCAATAATAGGGGATGAGTCATATCAATCTTGAATGATTGATTTCGTTTAAAAATAACATATCCACCAGAAAAATAGCCACATCTGTCAGAAAAAAAAGTTCAAATTTTATTGCCTTCTGCAACAACCCACATGTGTGAGGCAGTATTTGTGAACTGTATCTTTATTGTAATTTTTTTTTGGCTGCATTAACACTACTATCTGATGAGTAGCATATTTTTCGGAAGTCAGACCAATTTTCAAAACTTAGGTAATTTTTCTACAAGAATATAACATAAGACAAAATCGGCTTGGGCGATACAGGAAAATATGATAATGAAATGCATAACTCGTACTTTCATGTTACTCATTTCATAGAAAGTTTGCCCTCTGTAGACTTTGAATTTCCATATTGAGAATTAAATTGATAGTAGAAGATGAATACGAGAGCCCTTACATTTGCGCAATCTACACGCAACACTTAAAACATACTTAGATGAAAATTAGTAGCTGCCACCTGTCTCGACCACAAAGTTTTTTGTCCAATCTAACACACAATTGGCAAAATTATCCATTTATGGAAATGCTTTCCAACTGAGGAAGAATTGAGCGCAAGGAAAATATTTTGCCGCTTCAGGGAAAAAATTTTGCTTTTTATATCTATATATCATAAGCTCTTCGCATTGAGTACATACTGTGCAGCACAAATATTAATTTAGTTTTTCAAAATAAATCACTGGCACTGTACAAAATTGAGCATTGCATTAGAAAGCGGTTAATTAAAGAATAAATAAATAAAGTGGTTTTATTCATATGGAGAGGGAGGGATCCAAAATAGGTAAAGTGAAAAATTCAATAAAAAAATGTTGGAAACCACAGACTCATAGTCAAATTAATGCGTGTTGTCAACAAATAAGATGTCATGGTGATAAGAGTGTTCTGAAGTGGGAGACCTTAATTTGGTTCTGGGATTGGTCAACCCAGAACCTTGAAAATGGCTTCCCTTCGTTTCTCATTTCTAAATTTTCGCCTATAAACAAATTTATTTTTACCGCAACTGTTTAATAAGATAGATTTCATAGAAAATAAGTCGTTTGTAAAATATTTCATTCTGCGAACCTCTGAAAAGTGCTTCGGGACCCATTTGTGGGTCTGTCACCCTGGTTGGGAACCACTGATTTATGGTATAATTTTAATCTGTATGTTATGGCGATTTGTCAGTTATTCCCAATCTACAAATAGATGAAATACATGATAACCTTATGCCATTAGCATAGAGTCTTGCATTAGATACCAAGCATTGAGTTAAAAGTGGTTCAAGTTTGTTTTCTATAACAAACAATTTGTGTCGGTTAATAGGTAATCTTCAGGTGCTTTTTTTGGAGTCAAATCTACCATTTTTCTAAAACAAGTTTCGGTTAATAGGCTAGTTCAATTTTTCTTTTTTTTTTGAAGTCAAACCTACCATCAATGTTTGTTACATTCTGCACGACCTTCTCAGCATGAACTTCATGAATCTGCTCAGCTCGGACTTCTTGAATCTGAGAGTCAGTTATGCTTGTCTCTGTAAAAAAGAAATATTTTGTAAAGAAAATGTTAGATTCTCAAAACTTGCAATATTGCAAGAATTAAAATTGTGATATTTCCACATTTCGTTGAATATTAAAATAAGGTTTCAACATGATATTCGTTAAATGAAACCACTCAAACAAACTTAAGGAGACGAGAATGCATAATTCTTCAGTGACATAAGCAAAATGCATGGGAAAGTCTAATATTATTGATAAGTCAATGCAATGAAAGCAGAATTCAATGGAAACTCATCATTGGGTGCCCAACTACAATATATGTTATATTAGTCTGTCTGGAAGCCTAGCTGTATGAAAGAATTTCAATTCGATTTCCAGTTTGCTTTATATGTTGTCAATTTATCGCTATAAACCGGAAATTAAAAAATTCTTTGAGTATAGTTGTTTTCTCAACCATGTCTGTTAGAATAGTCTTTCCCAAACTAGGGTCCGCGGAACCCTGGAGGTCCGTGAAGACGGCACAGGGTGTCCGCAATAATGGGGGATGAGTCATATCAATCTTGAATGATTGATTTCATTTAAAATAACATATCCAACGGAAAAATAGCCACTTCCGTCAGAAAAAAAAGTTCAAATTTTATTGCCTTCTGCAACAATCCACATGTGTGAGGCAGTATTTGTGAACGGTATCTTTATTGTATTTTTTTAGGTGGAAAACACTACTATCTGATGAGAAACATATTTTTCGGAAGTCAGGCCAATTTTCAAAACTTAGGTAATTTTTCTACAAGAAAATAACATAAGACAAAATCGGCTTGGGCGATACAGGAAAATATGATAATGAAATGCATAACTCGTACTTTCATGTTAATCATTTCATAGAAAGTTTGCCCTCTGTAGA